ACCGCTCACTACCTTGAGGTCCTGTCTTGCTTTGTGGTGTCCTTGCCTGGGGATGCAGTTCCAGTTCTGGCCACCAGGGGCAGACTCCCAGGTCAGTGGGAGCAGGGAGCAAGGAGGAATCCGGAGGTCGTGCTGCCTGTCCCCAGCAACTGGCGCCTCCTGTTACTAGCACTGGTCTTCACAGTCTGAGCTGCTCAAAGCGGGAGGGCGGGCTCCAAACACTAAGCGCTCCTGCTTGGCAGAAGCCCTGATGGGTCCAAGGACAGTGCTGAACACCACCCAGGGGCCCCTGCCAGCCACCTGGGGCTCCGTCTGCGGGGAGGCGAACCAAAGCACAGACGCAGAGACCAGTGAAAGAAGAGTGCTCCGCTAGAGTGAGACGGGGCTGCGGGGAGGCCTGTCTCACTGGGCCAGAGGGCCCGAAAGTCCTCACTGGGTGGCATCTGCTGTGGCCAGAACGCCAGGAGAGCCAGCCCTGAGCAGGCCAGGGAGAAGGGAGCCTGTGCAGAGACAGCCAGCATGCGTCAGTGTGGCCAGAGGCCTCGGTCTGTCCGTCCATCCGAAGAGAGGGCGGGGCTAGGAGGTCCCTGGTCCTATGCTCAAGCCCAACTCCCCTGCAGCCCAGAGCCTGGCTTGGGTCCAAGTCCTGCCCTGCCCCCTGGTGGGCTATAGCGGTAGCGCAGGGTGGGAAGGGCTGAGGGTGGAGGGCCGCAGGGGCTGGGGCTCTTCCTTCCAGGGGAATCTGATGAAAGTGCAGAGGAGGAGGGAGGTGAGCAGCCGCAGCAGTCCCTGCAGGGGAAGAGGGTGTGGAAATAGAGACCCACCTGCGCAGGACACGCCCTGGCCCCATCCTCTGGGTCCCAGACTTCCTGGGAGAGTTTGGCACACAGAGAGGGGAGACCCGTCCATCGGTGGGTGGTGGTGCCGTCTTCCGTGGGGTCACGAGGAAAGCGTTCCAAGGACCCACGCATGGGAGACGGTGGTGTGGCAAGCTTTATTTGGGTGGGGGTAGGAGCTGCCCCCTGGGTGGCCAGTGTCCCATCTCCCTCCGCTGCACCATGGAAAAAGTCCAACCATGTCCTCAGCAAGGTCAAAACAAAAGACAAGGTCCAGAGGTGTTTTTTAAATAAAGATTTTGCTTATTTATGTTAGAGACAGGGGAAGGGAGAGAAACATCAACGTGTGAGAGGTACATCCATCAGTCACCTGTCATGCGCCCCTAGTTGGGGACCCAGCCCGCAACCCAGGCATGTGGTCTGACTGGGAATCGAACCTCTCAATGCAGTGGGTTGAGCAGGCCGGCGCTCAACCCACTGAGCCACACCAGCCAGGGCAAGGTCCAGGGTTTCTGCTTCATGTTAAAGCTTAGTGCTTTGGAGCCCACACCGTCTGCTGCGGGCCCGGTAGGCTAGGCCCACGCGGCCACGTGCCCCCAGGGGAGAGGAGCTACAGGGTTACCGCCCGGCATCTAAATGTCCTTCCCTGGAGGGCCTGGGGGTGGGTGGAGGTGGAAGAGAGCAGAGGGGGAACACAGGGTAATGATAAAATACAATAAAAAAGGAATAAATAGATAAAATAAAAAATCAACACCCTCCCCCGGAAACCTGTAAAAGCTTGGCACTTCCATGTTGCCCTCTCCCTCGAGTGGCTGCCCGTGTCGCGCAGACACAGCCGGACCCTTCCCCTGCCAGAGAGGCCTTCCCAGGACAGCCAGGGGCTGGGTGGGGTGCTGGCTCCCCGCACCCTGAACTGCCGACACAGCAGCCGCCTGGGACTGTGGTTTGCCAGGGACATCTGCTGGGAAGAGCTTTCCACTCTGCATCGCCGAGAACGACGTGAGCTGTGGTTTGTCGTCTACGGCCTTTGGGTGGTGAAGTTGGTTCCTTCCGTATCCAATTTGTTGAGTTTTTTATGAGGCAGGAATATCAAATTTTGTCAAATGCTTTTTTTCTGCTTGAGAGGACTGTATGTTTTTTTTTTTTTTCCATCCTATTCATGTAACACATCACACTGGCCGGTTTGCACCTGGACCCACCCTTGCATCCCACGGATAAATCCCACTTGATCACGGTGGGGGTGACCCTGTTAAAATGCTGTCGAATTCGGTTTGCTAGTATTTTGCTGAGAGCTTTTACATAGGCCTGTAGTTTTCCTGTGGTCTCCTCGTTTACATTGTCTTAGTTTCAGGATACCGCTGGACGCACAAAAATAAGTTTGAGAGGGTTCACTCTAAGTTTTTGGAGGAGTTTGGGGAGGATTGGCGTGTTCCTCCTTGAATGTCTGGTGGAACTCACCAGCGGAAGCGGCCAGCCACAGGGCCATCCCGCCCGCGCCGTGGCTGCGAGGTCGGCAGGCGGATACAGACTGCAGCGGACCGGGCCCCCTGGGCGCCTTTCGCCCCAGCCGCCAGCCCAGGCCCCTGCGAGAGGCAGTCTCATCCTGAAAGTCTCTCTGCTGTCAGTGGCTGTGCCCGCAGACAGGCTGATCTGACCTCTCATGGGTCACTCTCGACCTTCGATGCTTCCTGTGCTTTCAGCGGACTTTTGCCGCAGAGCGCTGCCCGTGGGCAGGGAGCCCTCCGGCCGCGGGGCCCTGCCCGCTCTGCGTTTCCCTCACACCCTCCCAGGTACGATCATCTGTGACCGCAGGTGGCTCCCGTGAGCACCCACCGTCCCAGCCGCTCCCACCACGGCAGCCAACAGGCCAGGACCAGGGACAGCTCCTCCTCCTGGTCCTGGGACCTGCTCCATTTTGGCCCCTCCCTCCCCAGAAGAGAGGTCACCGCCTGCTGTGTGAACTCGATCCGCTCCTAAGCTCCAAACTTCAGGGACACGAACACAAGCTCTGTCCTGGAGAATCCTGAGGCCCAGGAAGAGCAGCCGCGCACTGCCCCCGCACCGGACGGGAGGCTGCAGGCGGCTCTGCCGCGGGCCAGGGGCCTCCAGACCCGCCGGCCCCGCGGGGAGAACCGTCATCCACCTGCACCCGCGCCGGCCTCTGCCGGGGACCAGGAGCTGGCACCGCACCCACAGGGCCTGGACGGAGAGATGGCTCTGGATCCTTCTCCAGTGCCGGCTAGGAAGCCTCCTCAGGCTGTGCCCCCCACCCCCCGCCCCCAGAATGTTCTCTGCCCCAGACACCGTCCCTACTCTCGGAACTCATACCCTAACGGGCAGGACAGCAGCTCACCCGCAGCCAGGAAGCGGGAGGGCCAGCGTCTGGCATCCTGGTTGCCAGGCAACGCCTTCCATCACTCGGGTAGAGTGAATAGTAAACCGAGGCAGGGAGGCGGAGGGAGACAAGCCTCACCCACTAACTCAGCAGCCCTGGGCCTGACCCGACACTATTGCCAGGTGTCCCAACATCAGGAGAAGCACTGTGTTAACACAGGATGGGGGAGTCCTTGAAATCCTACGTAGCGTTTCCACTGCCTGGGAAAGAAAGCCTTGAAACTGTGCTTTCACCCCAGGGCCTGGCATGCGGGAGAGGGTCCACGGCGCCCCAAGAAGCAGCCCAGAAAACAGCTTTGGTGACTTGCCTGCCTGTGGCCACCATCTGTTTTATGAGGGAGTCCCTGATGCTCACAGAAACAGCCCATCAGTAACTTTGGGTAACTGCCCCAGCTTTCATTAACTGCCCCCTGGCACGTACCTGTTTTACAACAAGATAAGTAAACGGGGTCTGGAGCAAGATGAGGACTCGGGCTAACGGACCCCTGTCCATACTGAAGTTTGGGTGGTCACACCCCCCTGGGAGACCTGGCACTGCCTTTACCCGCCAATCAATACGTAACTTTTTTACTCCCATCCCACCAAGTTATGTAAGTCCTCAGAACAAAGCGCTCACTCCCTTGGCTCTTGGTTCTCTTGCCTCCCCCCACCCCGCCACCCCCCCGCCTTCAGCCGCTCTTACTTTTGCCGCCCTGCTCTGCCCTCAACCTTTGCTCCTCCCCACCCACTCTCGAGGCCTGCTCTCTTGCAGGGGAACGGACCACTAATAAACCGATTGCAGGCTAGTAGAACTGCTGATCTGCAACTCTTTACATGCATCAGCAAGAGGAACCAGGTCTCCATGGTCAACAAGAGGGCACACCAGGAAACGGCAAACGTACACCGAGTGAGAAAAACCAACCAGCTGGTCCCAGACCAGGGCCCAGGGAGCCAGGGGCCCAGTGTTTGCAGCTAATAATGGAAGGTGACCTTTCAGCCGGCACTCGCCAGCTCCTCAGCCTTCCCCTGGGCCCCTGCAGACACTGGGGAACCGGGCCCTGCCGTGTGGGGCCCAGAGGTCCCCCAGAGAAAACGCCAAGGACCCAAGTGATAACGCCCTTGAGGGACCCGGGAGGCTGTGCCCTGGTGTCCGGCAGATCTGGGTTTGCAGCTTCAAGCTGCATCACTGTGACCTTGAACCTCAGTGGTTTTGTCTTCTGTGGTTTCTCTGTATTTGGTTTCTCCCCAGCCCCTTTACTGCTACCTTTTTGACCACTGGGGCACCTGCCATTGTCCCCTCCCTCACCACACCTAAGCTGTAAGAGGGTCCCCCTGGGGCTTCTGGAGTTTGGGTGTGAGCAACGGTGGTCAAGGCTACAGACAGACCCTGGAAGGGAAGTGTGGCCAACCTTGTTTACAGGGGCACCAGGAGATTCCGGGAGCGGCTCCTGGTCCCCCAGGCCAGGGGCCAGGCTCCGAGGTCCTGAGCAAAGGCGGACCGACCCTACACCAAGAGTCAGTGCGATGACCAGTTGGTTTTCCCTCATTGTGATTGCTTCAATGTTTGCTAGAGACATTCAAGTTTTTCCCCCAAATTCTTTCTCTGGCCCCGAGTTCCCAGGCCCGTGCTTCTCTCTCCGAAGCTGGGCCTGCTTTGTCCCAGGGCACGTAACAGATGGCCAGTGGCGGGCAGAGCCCAGGGCACTCCAGCACCCGCTGGGAACCAGGGGACCCGGTCTGCGGTCGGTGGGCGGGGCAAGTGGGAGGAGCCTTGGTCGGCGGGCGGGGCGCGGGGCTGCATCCAAGGGAGGGGCGACCTTGCCTACGGGCGCACCCACCCGGCCCCTCTCCCCGCAGGAGGTCTCGGGTCAGGCTCAATCCGCGCTCTTCCTTGAGCACGGCGCCGCCACGGGATCTCGCGGGGACCCTGGCGAGCCGAGTCGCTGGTCACCGGGTCGAGGTGCGTCCTTCCGCCCTTCCTGAAGCGGGTCTGGCCGCGGAAGGTGAGTCTGCACCCCGCAACGTCCTGTTGCGCTCCCTCCGCCCCACGCTGTTCCCGCGTGGCGCCGGGAGCCCTGAGCCCGTACTGAGGGTCGGAAGTCGAGGTGCGCGCCTCCTCCGCGGGCTCCTCGCTGCGGACCCGGGGCTGGAGCGGACAGGGTTCAGGCCGGCTCTGTGTCTTAGGCCCCTCGGGAGCCACGGCCTAGCGGAGCCGAACTGGAAGACTGCCGCACGTCGGGGCCCGTGCGGGGAAACCGAGCCCGCGGAGGGCGAGAGAGGGAGCGGGCTGGCCAGAGGCCACCGACACTCCAGCTCCGGGACCTTCCTCCGACCTCGGGAGGAGCCCTGCCCGTCCGGTGCTCGGTGCTCGCGGGGACCCGGACCGAGCCTAGCGCCGTACCGCCCTTCCCGAACGTCATCCTCGGGGGCGGTGCGTACTGTCCCTTCTCCCCGCCCCCCCAGCGTCTTTATCCGGGGAGATCCCTGAGGCCGTGGCGGAGGCGGGAAGGGGACCTGTCCCACGTTGCCGAGTTAGGGAGGGATGGAGCGCGTCCCGAGGTCCCCTGGAAGAGCCGGGCTCACTCTCACTCTCACTCCCCACGCCCCGCGCTGGGGAGCCCGGCCCCGGCCCCGGCCCCGGCCCCGGCCCCGGCCCGGCTCGGCTGTGCAGGCTCCAGGCTCGAGTTCCGGTTGTCCTCACGCTGGCTCCCGGGAACGCTTCCTCAGGTCCCGCCCAAACGCCCGGCCCCGGGCAGCGCCGCGGGACCCGGGCCCTCTGCTCACCGCGGTGGGAGGAGTTAGGAGGGAGACCTGAGGGCCTAGGCTGGGGGCCCCGAGTGCTTGTGCCCCGACACCGCCGCGGGCTTCCGCTGAGCGCGGAGCTGGGAGAGCTGGCCCCCGAGCTGCAAGAGCGGGGCCTGGGGGCCACATTCCCCCGCCGGGGCCGCCCAGGGGAGGGCAGGGCAGGGCAGGGCAGGGCAGCGAGGATGGGGCCACTGTCCTCTGGGTAAGGAGCATTTCTCTGCAGGTGTTCCCCTCGCCGATACGGGCTCCGAGAGGAGACTGATTCCCCAAGGCAGGCCCGCCCTCAGCAGGTGCGGGGACTCAGGAGCTGCACCCCGCCATGCGCTGCCGCACGCTGGCCCTGGGCCTGGGGTTCTGCCTGCTGGCGGGCGCGGCCCTCTGCGTTCTGTGGTGAGCATGCGCCCTGGAGCCCTCCGGGCCCACCTGAAACTTCTCTCTTGGCATCCCAACCCCCAAACCTGACCCCTCTCCGGGCACACCTGCCACCCCTCCCGGCCTAGCCTTCACACACGCCCTTCCCTCTGCCCCCACCACCCTCCTGGCGCGTCCACGAGGGGCTCCTGGTCGTGCTCCCCAGTCCACCCCGTGTGTGCCTTCTGCGCAGTTCCCTGGGCTGCCCCCCCCCCCCGCACACCACCAGCCCCTCTTGTGTGCGGGGCGTGGAGTCACGAACATTCCCGCCCCAGGAATGAATGACTTCACGGGGCGGTTAATGACCACATGCTGGAAGACCAGGAGACTTTGTCCTCCGCGCTCAGCCAGACCTCAGGGGTGACTGGGGACCGCAGATGTGCCCCTGGGGCCTTGACCCCCCGCTGATGTGTCCCAAGTGGGCAGAGTCCCGCACTGCCCCGAGTTTCAGCCTCTGGGGCCGTCGGACCAGCAGGTGTTTCTCCCTCCCAGGGTGTACGCGGAGCACTGGCTGCCGTTCTCCTACGTCCCCTATTATCTCCCCTGCCCAGCGATCTTGTGAGTGTGGGGCCGGGAGAACGGGGCGGGGGGGGGGCCCTGCCGGCTGCAGGGAGAGGGGCAGATGGGAGACTTTTTAAGGTCGCCCGTCTGCAGGTTCCTGGGTCCCCAGCTCATGACCAGTGCGACGGGCGTTGGGTGATTTGGGGCTGCCCTGCTTCAGTCTTTGGGGACCCTGAGCCTTACCTGCTGCACCTGTGAGGTGGGACGGTGGAGGCGCCCCTCCGGGCTGCAGGGGTAACGCACGGAGTGCGGTGGTGCCTGAGGAGCCCACGGGGGGGGGGGGGCGGGGGGGGGGCACTGACGTGTGGTAGGCGCTCAGGAAACAGTGCGTGTGGACTTGACTGTTTTGCTCAGCTCCATGCTCCACGTGCATCCAAGGGACCCATGAACTTGTGACCAAGCCTTGCACCTGACTTTGACGGTTGAGAGTGAAGCAAAGGGTTGGGACAGTCTCGGGGCCATCGGGCCCCCATCTTGTGTTTTACGGTGGCCCCCAGGAAAGTCCAGAGTTGGGTCATAGACTTCGAATGAACACGGCCTGGTTTGTTATCATAAAAACGCAGAATATAGCAAACCAGGAAGCTGGAGAGAGGAAAAGAGAAAAAGAAACCGTCCTGGGTCCCCCGGGTCTGAATGTTACTCCAGTTCCGGAGTTTGCCGTCAGCCAGTGGGCTGCTGTGCTTTCTAAATGACCAAACTCGGCCACCCCTGCTTCTAAAGCCGGAAAGGCTGCTTGCTGTGGGAAGTAGTTGTGATGTTTTTTAAAGATTTTATGTATTTATTTTGGGGAGGAGGGAGAAAGAGAGGGAGAGAAACATTGCCTCCTGCCCACCCCCAACCGAGGACCCAGTCCACAACCCAGGCATGTGCCCTGACTGGGAATCGAACCGCCGAACCTTTGGTTTGCAGGTCGGCAGTCAATCCACTGAGCCACACCAGCCAGGGCAGAAATGGTTGTGATCTTAATGTTTCTGTGTTTTTAATCGCGTTTTCCAGAAGTGACTTTATTTTTCGGCCTGCGTTCATTCTCTTCACCGTCACTCTCATCTTATTCCACCCAGGAGTTGGGTCATAGTTCTTGAATCCCTCCCCCCCCTTTTTTTTAAAGATTTATTTATTTATTTTTAGAGAGGGAAAGGAGGGAGAAAGAGAGAGAGAAACATCAACGTGTGGTTGCTGGGGGCCGTGGCCTGCAACCCAGGCATGTGCTCTGGCTGGGAATCGAACCTGCAACACTTTGGTTCACAGCCCATGCTCAATCCGCTGAGCTACACCAGCCAGGAAATCCCTCCCCCTTTCCCACAAGAACCTCAGGGATCTCGGGGGTTTCCAGCTCCCCGGTGTCCCACATCAGCTCGCAGTGAGTGGCTTGGGGCCCAAAGCTGTCTCCGTCTTAAAGGTCCCTTCGTTTGCTGTGTTCCCTTCCTGGGCTGGAGGACATGGAGAAGTTCTTTCTGTTTGTTTTTTTTTAAATCCTCCCCGGGAGACAGGCTCACTGATTTCAGAGTGAGCGGCAGGGAGACAGAAAGGAAGAGAAACGTCGGTGTTACAGAGAAACACCAGTCGGTCACCTCTTATGGGCACCCCAACCAGGCCCCGAACCCACAGCCCGGCCACGCGCCCCGGCTGGAAATCGAGCCTGCGACCTTCCGGTGCGCAGGGCAGCCCTCCGGGCGGCCGAGCCCCACCTGTCAGGGCAGGAGAGGTCCTCGAACCAGCCGGTCAGGTTGCTTTCCAAAGGACCAGGACACACCCCACCCCACACACGCTGCTCCCCGGGGCCCTGCTGGAAGGACCGGGTGAAACCAGAAAACAAACTGAACGAGGAGAACGAAGGCCGCCCCACCACCGTGCTGCTGGGGGGGACGGGAAACGCTACCTCCTCGGTCGAGATTACACGTCTTTGCTTCCTCCCCGGGGCCTCTGTCCCCGCCCCCAGACCCGCCCCTATACCCCGCCCCCAGGCCCGCCCCCTCTGCTCAGGCCCGCCCCCTCTGCTCAGGCCCTGCTCTGTCTGCCACCGCTGCCTGTGGCCTGTGTGCCGGGGTGCGCCACCGCCCTCCGCCGAGCACGTTTGCTACATTCTTTGTACTCTGCAGTTTGTCTGTTTTTGGGTTCTACCGAGTTCCTTTTTCACAGATTGAAGTGGGTTGGGTTTTGCCTGCTTTCGACGACCCTGTCTTTTCTTCTTCCTCTGGGTTTCTTCAGGACTCGTAGCTGTCAGACCTTCGGGGGCCAGGGAAGGTGAAGTCCCCCCGCTTTCTGGCGGGGCTTGTCTGGCTCCGTGTGTTACCTCTGACTCTGAGGCTGGCCGCGAGGGGCCAGCGCCCTCCCTTCGGACCCGGGGCAGAGCCCCGTCACTTTCCGAGCGGGGACCTGAATGTGTCTGTCTGTGTGCAGCTGGGCCGAGGGCCAGCGTGACCGACTGGCTTTTTCAAGCTGTCGATTCCAGAGTAGAGACTGGTCCCAGGAGGGCAAATGCTGTGGATTCCTCTTACCGGAGATTCCCGGAGACGGAGGGGGAGTAGTGACCTGGGGGCGGGGGAGGGAGGGGGCGTGTAGCCGGGCGGGTTTCCGTGGGGAAGGCGGGAAAGCTCTGGGGGCGGCTGGGGGGGGCCGGTGCACAGCCTGTGAGCACACTGAGCCCCGCGGAACTGGACAGCCAAGAAGGGTTCCAGCGGCGATCTCCGTTACACACTTCCACCACGCCCGTAAAAGGGCCTAAACTACAACAGGTGGGAAGGCAAGGAGACTAAACCTGCGTCGTCACGGGCGACATACTGAGAATTCCCGGAGGAATGGCAGGCAGCATGCCCCCAGGGGGTCCCAGCCTCACCCAGGCCTCTCCCGGGGCTGGCTGCCCGGGGCGGCGGGGGGTGGCCCTGTCCCTTCTCTGGGCCTCGCCTCTACCGCCTGGGGAGCAGCTCTTTGCAGAAGGGTTTATTGTCTCATATTTTTAAGGGTGAAGGAACTAAACCCCCCGAGGAGTCAGAAATCTGGCCCAGGTCCCCGGGGAGGTGGTAGCAGAACCAGGGACTCGGTGCAACCTGCCACCTCCTTCCTTGGGGACCCCCTTCTGACGTGCGGCCCAGGGTGGCCTCCACGCGAGTGTGGGCTGACCACACCGGCCGCTGCTGGGTGCATCCCGGGGTCCATGCATGGCCGAGGACGGGCACCCTTGCTGCAGACCGGCCAGGTTCCCTGAGCAAAGTGAATCTGCCCCAGCGGCATGGGGGGGTGGGGGTTGGGTGGGAAAAGGGAGGTGGGGGTAGGTGCTTAGACAGACAGACAGACAGAGGTTGGCTTACTTGACCTCGGGTGTGGCCAGGCCAGGCTGAACACCGGCCAGGCCATCAGGGCGAGTAGGCTGGACCTCTTGGGCCGGAGCTGACCCTACAGGACTCCTTCCTCCGGGAGGCTTAAGTAAGCTCTGTTCTCGGGGCCTTTCAGGGGGCGGTGTCGGGGGGCCTGGCCCTCGTCGGGGTGATCTCTACCCACGGCCAGCTGGCGTGGGCCCTCCTCACGTCTGCAGGAGGCCTCCGTGGCTACTGGGCCGGTGCTCGTGGAACTGGGTGGGACCGCCGGCTGTCCCTGCGGGCTGGGGTCAGGCCACTCTCCCACGGCCCCAGGCCGGGAGCCGGCAGGGCTGCGCATGCGCCGTTCTTCGCAGCTCCTCCCCACTTTCCTCCCGGCGCTGGGCTCCTGCGGCATGCCGGAGCCGACAGGGCACCGGCCCTGGCGACAAGCACCCTGCCACTCGGTCGGTGGCCCTGGATGGACGCTCTGGTGGGACCCAGGCCCTGCAGAACACGCAGAGCCGTGGGGAGGGTCCACGGAGCCCCAGGTCGCCTGCTCCGGGGTGGGGGGCGGTGCTGAGTGAACCTCAGCTTCACTCTGCCACCTACCGGCAGTAACGGCATTTTCTCGCCTCTGCCCACCAGCAACATGAAGCTGCAGTACAGGGGCGAGAGGCCCTTCCAGCCCGTGGCCGGGTAAGCGCCCTGTCTGGTCCCGCTTTGGAGCCCCGGGGTGCCTGCCGCCCCCCTCACCCCCGGCCCTTCTCCGTTGCAGGTCGCAGTACCCGCAGCCCAAGCTGCTGGAGCAGAGGTAGGCGCTGCGGAGGGCCCCGGGGCAGCGCGGAGGGACCTGGGGTGGGTGGCGGAGGTGCCCGGCGGCCTTGGCGTTCTGTTGTGGAGGACTGGGGCCGGGCCGCCCACCCGCGGGAGGTGGGAGGGCCAGGTAGGAGCTGCACAGCAGAGTGCCCGCTGCGTGGCACGTGCTCGATCCCTCGTCAGTGACAGTGCATTTAAAATTGTTTTCCTTTTACGGATTCTAGAGAGAGGGGAAGGGAGGGAGAAAGAGAGTGAGAAACATCAATGTGAGCCATCAGTTGTCCCTTGTCCCGGGACCACACCCTGGGCCTCGAGTAGCAGTCCAACCCCTGACCTTTCGGTCTGAGGACGATGCCCAGCCGACGGAGCCACACCGGCCAGGGCTTTTTAGTGACAATATTGATAACCCCACACCTGATGTGCCTTCACCTCCCGCCCCCCTGGGAAGTAGATCTTCCCATCCCCACTTCCCCCCCACTCGAGCATGCTGAGGCCCAGAGACAGGGACGAAGTCTCCCGGGGTCACACAGCGTGGGAGGCAGGGCTAGGGCGAGCCCAAGGGAGGGTCTCAGCCCCCCCCCAGCGCCCCCTGCTGCCAGGCCCACAGACCTGCTGACGCTCACGCCCTGGCTGGCACCCATCGTCTCCGAGGGGACCTTCGACCCGGAGCTTCTGCAGAACATCTACCGGCCACTGAACCTGACGGTCGGGCTCACCGTGTTCGCCGTGGGGAAGTGAGTGGCGGGCTGGGCCTGTCGCAGCCACGGGGGCTCCCGGTCTGGGGAGAGGCAGGACCTGGGCCCAGGTGGGGAAGGGAAGGAGGGCTTCCTGGAGGAAGGGGCTCGGGTTCTGGCCCCCTCATCCCTCTCTGCTTCCCCGGAACCGCCCACGCAGGCATGGCGGGGTGGAAAGCCCTCGGACCACCTCACGTAAATAGAGGGTCCGTGGTCAGGTCGGGCCACCCGCGGGTCCCAAGACCGCAGCTGGGCTGGCCCCGCCCTCAGGCCCCCCTCTGCTGCTGGTCGTCTGGGTTTCCCCTCTTTCCCCTGTCCTCCCGGCCCCCAGCTGGCCTTTCCTGGGGGCCACCCCCCCGGCAGCTTCCCTGTGTGCCCGTCCAGGACCCCTGACAGAGGGACCGTGCTGGGGCCCTCAGGCCTGACGCACTGGCCGGACGGGGAGGGCCCACCTGGGGCCAGGTGTGGTCCCGCCAGCTGTGGGCCGGAGGGCAGGGCCCAGCAGTTGCCGCCTGCCCTGGGCCCCGCACCTCCCGCCGTTCCTGGACGCAGCCGCTGACCTGCGTCCTGGTCCCCCTCCGACCCCGAGCCAAGGCGTCTCTGCCTGTAAAAGGGGGTCACGGTGGAACCCCTAGGCCCTGCCTGGCACTTAGCTCAGGCAGAGTGAGGTCCGTGGGGGAGCATGAGGAGCGGCACCCCGCTCAGACTCGCTCCTCCGACGTTTGAGAGGCAGGTGCAGTGACTGTGGGTGTTTGACAGACGAGGACCCCAAGGGTCACAGCTGCGTGACTCCTCCCAGTGGGAGCTGCAGGGCAGCCCCAGCCTGGCTGACGGCAGGCGGCCCCGGGCCCTGTAGGGTGCCGGCCCAGGGGGGGACCCTGCTGGGGCCACCACGGATGACGGATTCTCACCACCAGGTACACCCGCTTTGTCCCGCACTTCCTGGAGTCGGCCGAGCGGTTCTTCATGCAGGGCTACCAGGTGCGCTACTACGTCTTCACCGATGACCCCGAGGCCGTTCCGAGGGTCCCGCTGGGCCCCGGCCGCACCCTCGGCATCATCCCCATCCGGAAGTACCCCCGCTGGGAGGAGGTCTCCATGCGGCGGATGGAGACCATCAGCCAGCACATCGCCCAGAGGGTGCACGGGGAGGTGGACTACCTCTTCTGCGTCAACGTGGATATGGTGTTCCGGAACCACTGGGGCCCCGAGACCTTGGGAGACCTGGTAGCCGCCATTCACCCGGGCTACTACGCCTCGCCCCGCCAGCAGTTCCCTTATGAGCGCAGGCATGTCTCCACTGCCTTTGTGGCAGACGGCGAGGGGGACTTCTATTATGGCAGGGCGGTCTTTGGGGGACGGGTGGACAGGGTGTACGATTTCACTAGGGGCTGCCACATGGCCATCTTGGCGGACAAGGCCAACGGCATCATGGCGGCCTGGCAGGAGGAGAGCCACCTGAACCGTCGCTTCATCTCGCACAAGCCCTCCAAAGTGCTGTCCCCCGAGTACCTCTGGGACGACAGGAAGTCCCAGCCACCCAGCCTGAAGCTGATCCGCTTTTCTAGTCTGGACAAGAACTCCCACTGGCTGCGGAGCTGACCCCAGAGCCAGGCTGCCACGGACAGGGTCCCAAGCCGTGCAGCCGGCTCGCCCCTCACGGGCACCCAGAGGCCCCGGCGGAGTGCCTCACGGCTCAAGCCTTAGCTGAGACCCGCCTGGTCCTGCCTGGTCCTGCCTGCCTCTCTCTCAGGAGAATCCCACCGGAAGCATAAGTGGGAGGGCCTCTGGGAACTGTGGGAGGGCTGTGCCCACAGGAGGAGAGCAGAGAGCTCGAATGTGGGCCGAGAGGTGGGACAGGGCGGGGTCACGAGAGGGTGGGGGGACAGGCACCCCATAGACTCGCCTCCACGTCCTCCTTGTGCCTTCGTGTCCTCAGGGCGGCCCTGCGTCCTGCCCTCCGCTGTGCCTGCATCGCCACCCCCGCCCCCTTTCCCGCCCACTGCCCTTGGGGTTGCGCTTGTCACCGCTGGTGTGAGGGGTGTCCAGGGCTCCCAGTACTGTGATGCCCTTCGGCCACGTGGAGCCAGTTCCTCACGCAGGAGGTTGAGAACCTGACTGGGTCTGGGCTCTCTGTGGTTTCCAGCGCAGCCCCACCCAGCGGCGACCACCCTCCCTGGCACTAGCCCTCTCCTTTGTCAGAAGGTCGGGGCTGCTTTAATAAAGGTGGCACCTGCTAGGCCCTAGCCAGGGTATCTCCACCTGTACCCCCGAGTGTCTGTGCCATTGGCCGCAGGTGACGCTGGCAGCCTGGGTGTTGAATGCATCCACTCATAGGAGGGGGGGCAGGGAGGGGAGTTCTCCAGAAAGCCTGGGCTCAAACTGATGTCTAAGGGCTGGGCCCCGGGATTGGACCGGGGTCTGCTGCCGCCCCTGTGGGCGTGGGCTGGGGCTGAGAAGGCTCTGGGTCTGGAAGACGCCACTGGGACCGGAGCCAGGCTGGGGGTGAGGCGGGGGGTCTTCGCCCCTGCACGGCTGACGCAGGGCCACTGCGTCAGGGCCTCCTTCCTGATGCCTGTCCGGGCCAGGGAGCCCTAGGCCGGGACTTGGAGGGCCAGCGCAGGCCCCAGGGCTGGCGGAGGGCCATGATTCTGAGTCCCTGGTTCACAGCTGGACCTGACCACTCAGAGCTGAGTGATCCTGAGCCCTGGGGCCACTGCTCATCCATAAAGTGGGGTGAAAGCACTGAGTGCCGCTGGGGGAGGGGGGTCTATAACAGGAACTACCCCCAACACCAGCCCCTCCAGTGGTGGGGCTCCCTCCTCCACGGACCGAGTGCCCCAGCTCCTCCCTGGAACAATGGGGTGGGGGAGTACAGAGGAGAGGTGGAAGGGGCGACCTCACATTCCTTCCTGTCAGTGTCTATTACTACTTCCAGGTCCCCGTGACCCCAGCCAGCCACCGAGCTGCCTCTGAAGGGGTCATGGGGGGATGAGGGCTGAGAGGGTGGGGGTGGGTGTGCGATGGCTCCCGTGTCTCCAGGGTTCCCCGCCCACACGGCCCAGCCCCCGGCTGGGTTTCGGGTGGCCCGAGGTCTTAGGGGGAGTAGGAGGCGCGCAGCAGGCGGTAAGGGCGGAAGATGCGTGGGACCTGCCGAGCGCCGAGTCCTTGGGGCGCTGCGCGCGAGCGGCAAGGCGGAGCTTCCGTGCACGCGCTGTCCGCGGGCCCGTGCGCGCGCCCGGCGGTGGATGCCAGGCCCAGGTGCCCCGGCGGCGTCCGCCCAAAGGAGGGAAACTGGTGCGCGCCCCCGAGCTCGAGCGGTGGGGCCCGCCCCTCACACCTGCGGCGGGCTGGGGCGGGGCCGCGGCTGACCCCGCCCACCCGCCGGCCGCTGCCCGGGAGCCCGGGCGGAACGAACAGCGGGGCCCGAGCGGCCGGCGGCGCGGCGCAGACAATGGGAGCGGCGCTGGCGGCGGGGGCCGCGGAGCCCCGGGCCCGGCGGGGACGGGAGGCCGCGCCATGAGCCTCGCAGCCGGGCGCCCCCCTGTGCGGCGCGCAGGCCGAGGCGAGCGGCCTCTGCGAGTCCCGGGCCCCATCCAGGGGCCGGCGATGCGCTGCCGGGGCTGAGGATGATGGTAGATTGCCAGGTAAGTGCCACGCCCGGCCTCGCCGCCCTCCCCCGCGTCACGGGTGGAGGAGGCCAGCATGTCCCCCGCCACACCCCATCCGGCGGGGAGGGAGCGCGGCGCTGCCTTCACGCTCGGCGCGCGCTTACGCAGTTCCGCGTTCAACCCCTTCTGGTACAACTGGGAAACTGAGGCCAGGAGAGAGGCAGGGACTGGCCCGGGGCCCACGAGGTGGGCAGAATCCAGGGAAGCGGGAAGGGTTTCAGCCTTTTAGGCCAGCCTCACGTCTCCCGTGGGGTTTTCCTTTGGGAATGAGAGCCCCCTAAGATCCTGGGGAAACCCCGGTCCACCCCTCCCTGGTGGGGCTGTTTCCTCTGGGCATCCCCACACGGGCACGGGCACACGCACACACATTGACTTCCCAGGCGGGGGCCGTGGAGTGGGTTCCGAGGACCCGTGCACACTGCGGAGGTGACAGGGAGAAGCAGAGAGAGGCTGGAGGCAGCCCAGCCACCGGGCAGGAGCATCTAGTCTCCTAGCAACGTGCCAGGGGTCCTTAACGCGGAGGGGAGAGATGCCAGACTGATGGCCAGAAAGTCCCAAGGTGCCCAGGGGTCCGTCTGGGCTGGGGCCATCCCCAGGGTAGCCGGGAGAGGACTCGGAGCCCCGCGTCCTCCGCTGCGGGCCCTGAATTAGGAGACCCCCCCCCCAGGGTGCAGGCGGCTGCAGGAGAGAAAGCCGCAGCCCACTCCTCTGTACATTCGGGTGCATAAAGCTTGTGACACCAAGGGTCCCACAGGCTCCTGGAAGAGTCTGGTGTCCCTGGCCCTCCATCCATGACCCCACTGTGCTCTGGGTCCTTGGAAAATGAGGTCCTTCTGAGCGGCCTGGGAGGTGGGGGTCCTGGGAGCTGGGTGGTGTGGGACAGGGCAGAGCAATGGACGACTCCTCTGGGGACCAAGGACAAGGCCATCCTTGTTGGACTTGGGGTCCTCGTGTGGAGGCGGGTTCGGAGTTATTGCCCCAGCGGGGTGAGGAGGCCTCGTGAAGGAAGTGGACTCCAGGACAGTGCAGGGAAAGAAGGGATTCTGGGGCCCCAGGTGTCACCCCGGAGCCTGCAGGTCCTGTTCCTGTGCCCTCCCGCGCCGCGGAGGGCAGCTGCCTTGACTACATTTAAACAAAGGTGTGTGTTTTGTTTCTGGTTTCCGTGCCTGGACTGCATTGCCGGGACTGACCACCAGGGGGCGGGCTGCGCCCACTGTGCTCACAGGAGCTGCGGGAGCCAGGAAGGGACACCCAGGGGTCATTCCGAGCATCCGGCTGCCTCGGACCCCACGTGCACCTTTTATTATTAGTCTCCCCATCCACAGTGTGAGCTGCTCAGAGGCGGGAGGGGCGCCAAGACCCTGCCATTATTCTTTCCGTTCCTGTGCCCCCCCACACACACACTCGCCCTGAGCAGGAGGGGGGCTGGGCCTGGGGCGGCCGTGTTCCCAGGACCCACGGGGTCCCTGCCCTCCGGGAGCTCACAGCCCAGGAGAGATGAGCATTGCTGTGGGGAAAGGGGGCAGGTGCTTTCGGGACCCTGGGTGGGGCCGAAAGGCCCCCAAGGTGACATTTATGCTGGGACCAGAGGACCAGAAGAGCCAGCCCTGCGCAAGTCCGGGGAACAACGTGTGGGCGGGGGGGCGGGGGGGGTGGTGGAGACTTGGAGGTGGGAGTGAATCTTCAGGGAGGAAGTCAGGGAGGAAGCCGGAGCGGGGTGGCGGGAGAGAGCGGGGATCCCGGAGGGAGGGAGCTGGGAGGGCAGCTCCCAGTACCAGGTCCTCCGTGCCTGTCTCGTCTTGCTGGTTGTCCGTGCCGAGGGAGTGACAGCATTGTCCTAACTTGCCCTTACATGACCAAAGGCTGAGCATCTCACAGACTCTGTGACCGGGACTCCTCTCACGCCAGGTCTCCCAGGGGGCTGGAGCCCTGTTCCCACCCGAGGTGCTGCCGGGGGGGGGGGGGGGCGGGCGGGTTTCTCTCTCCAAGACCAGTCCGGTTATCGGCAGGATTCCTCGGGGCAGGCACCTCAGAGAGAAACATTCCAGGAGAAGGTGTCCCGTGGTCAGGGTCGGTTCCGGGAGGTGCCGTGCGGAGGAGGGCGATTGGGGCCGGTGTCTGTGGAGACTCATCTGGATTGCGCCCTCGCTGCCCTGGGCCTCCACCTGAGCCGGTGGCAGGTTCTGGGCGCTAGGCTGGACCACACTGGGCCAGGCAGTGGGGCCGGGCCAGGCCAGGCCAGGCCGGGCAGGGCTGGTGCGGGCTATCTGGGCTTCCTGGGGCTACTTCAATGAAGGGCCACAAACTGAGTGGCCCAGAGCAACGGGAGTTTCTTTTCTCTCGGTTCTGGAGGGCAGAGGTCCAAAATCGAGGGGTCCGCAGCACCGTGCTCCCTGAAACCTCTGGGAGGGGACACTTCCTGCCACCTCCAGCACCTTCCTGGGGGTGGCCGGCTTGTCTCTTCGCTCCATCACTCCGATCTCTGCTCCCGTCCGCCCGTGGCCACCTCTGTGCTTCTGTGTCCAGTCTCCCCTCCTCGTGTGAGGACAGCAGCCATTGGTTCTGATTAGGGCCCACCCTCATCCCGTGTGGCCACACAGCAGGGTGCCTGGAGTGAGTCCTTTTCCCTGAAGGCCAGGTACCCCGCTGCCCGCAGGTGCAGGGAGCAGCTGGGGTCCGAGGCGGTCTCTGGGACTTGCCTGCAGCTGGGGATTGTGGGTGCAAGTGGTGTCAGTGGAGCCTGGGGTGTGTGTGCTCAGGGACAGCTGGCTCCCCCGGCTGGCAGGCCCTGGCGCAGCGCCAGCAGGTGGCGCTGTGACCTCAGGGCCGCTCAGCGCTGCTTTGAGTGGCAGCTGCCTAGACAAAGGTCTCACCTCCGGTTTCCAAGAGACAACATTCAATTGTAAACAGACCAGCAGCACAGTCATCTCAGAGGTGACACGCTGCGGAGGAAGTCACACGAGGCGGGGCCCCAGGGTACTGCCTGGGTGGCAACGTGGTGGACGGGGCAGGGACACCGCTGTCGGGAGTTCTCTTCCTCCCTCACCTGCCAGCCGAGCCGGCCGGTCCCCGAGGTTCCAGGGGCCCTGCAGCTACGGTTTCACCTGCGGTTTCCAGAGGACAGCTCTCCCGTGACCGCAGGGCAGGGCGCGGCCCAGTCTGGGGCACACGGAAGGCAGCGTGGACACCTCCCCCCACACAAAGCAGGGAGGGCCACCGCCTCCCTGCCAGAGGGTGGGCCCCCGGAGAGGGCGCACAGGCCCGGGGTGGGGGCTCCTGACCCCACAGTTCCCATGCCGCGGGCTCTCGGCAGCGGGTCGTGGGTTTGAGCGACAGCTATTGGTCGAGGGCCCCTGTGCGAGAGGACGAGACTGCAGGGCAGGGGTGCGGGGCCAGCAGTGGAGCCAGGCCGACGGTACTGGGCTGGAGACCTGGGGACCTGGATTCAGGGGCCACTCTGCCGTTAGAGGCGCGCCCGCCGTGGGGCCTGCCAGGCCCCTCCCACACCCCTCTCCTGGGCTGTGGAGGCACCTGGCGGTGACCACCGGTCCTCAGCGCCCTCCCTGCACCTGCCCGTGGGCCACCCTGCCTCACCATGTCCATGAGGTCAGTGCCACAGCTGTCCTCACCGGTGGGGAAGCCGGCACCGGAAGGCGAAGGGACTCCCACCCACTGCTGGGGGGTGGCAGGGCCGGTGGGGGCACGCCCCTGGTGCAGACAAGCCTGGGGGGCGGGGCCGGCACAGGTGCTGGGACGGAATCCTTCCCGATTACAGTGCGCGAGCGCCCGGAGGCCGGGGCCGGGCAGGCCCAAGGCGGTGGTTAGCAGCGGGAGTGGAGGCGTAGACAGGACTAATGAGCCCCCTTGGTCGCCCCGCTAATGAAGGCCTTCAGTCGGCTCCCGGCTCCGAATTTTCTCGGGTTCTGGGCTTTTGAACTTCAAGGAGTCTTCTCTCGGGGTCACGGCCCGGCGGGTCCCTGCGGGGGTCAGGGCACGAGCTTCTGAAGCTCAGAGCCTCCTCCCGGGGCAGCCAAGCCAGGGAGAGGGCGTCCCCCTAAAAATGACATGCCCCAGAAGGGAGAGTTTCCATGGCAACCCAGAGCCGTTGCTTGGCAACTACAGGACCCCAAAAGACTTGCCTGCAAAAAGGGTTGGGGTTGGGGCTTTCCCATGGCCTGTGTGTGTGGACCTGGGCTACTCCTCATGGCCGATCCCCACCCCCAGCACCCCCTCTACGCCCCCACCCTTCCTGAGGGAAACCCCAGCCAGCTCCCCACTCCTCATCACCAGTCCCCTAGCAACGGAGGCTATTTCCTGGATACCTGAGTGACAGGTGGCCGAGCTGGGGCAGATGTCAGGGAGCGCAGTGGGCGGGTGGACGCAAGCATGAGGGGGCGGGGCAGGGGGGCGGTGCTTTGCACCCTCTGCACCCTGCAGCCTCCAGCGACCTGGGCCTCGGCGCAGGGGGGCAGGGCAGGGTGTGGCTTGGTGGGGGGGTGGGCAGAGCCCCCTGAACTGTGGTTCTGGGCCGCAGGCGGAGGGACAGGCAGCCTCAGTGTAAGGCCACCACTGGCTTTGGGGATGGACACCTGAATCTGTGTCCCACCCAGCTCAGCGCTTGTGACTGGGCGTCCTAGGCGTCCTAGGGCAGGCACGGGACCCTCCGAGCCTCGCCGCCCCCCCCCTCCCGCTGTGAGGAAAGTGGCCGCCTCTGTCTGGGCTGCTGTGGACATGGAAGGAAATGGGCCCCGACGGCTCCCTTAGGCGGCTGCCTTAGCCTGTGGGTGCTGACCGCGCGTGCGGCCGTGCAGAGGGCACTGGTGGGGGCTGTGTCCAGCCCGGAGGGAGGAGGTGGCCGAGCCCCTGACCACAGGAATGGAGGGCGGGGATGGACTTTGGAGCTGATAAAGGTGAGGCTTGGAGGCCAGAAGGTGGTTGGTGGGGGGTGGAACGGTTGATGACCCCCCCCCGAGGGG